CTGAATTCTAAAGACCTTCTAGCAGCATAATATGGTTTTATAAATAGAGAAGTGCAACAGTCTCAGTACAGAACACAATAATACAGGCATCGTTGTTTTAGATAAACAATGAGCAAACTTGCTTTTCAGTTGTGTTTCTTCTGTGCAACCTTTCTTTTTAAAGAAAGAAGGAAGAAGAATAAAACAGATACCTGGTGACAGAGTGATTTCTAAGAAGACCTTTGAAAAATGTTTTGTTACTGTTACTTAGCTACTGTGATCATTGTAGATGTTGTCTTGTAAAGTTCTGACTGCTGGTAAGAGTTCCTTCCATTTAGCTTGGTTAATATCAGTCAGGGAAAATTGATATCAGACGGAAGAAATTGAACAGTCAATTTCAGTATTATTTTCTCAAGCAGCCTGCATAACATAGTGATAGATTATTGTGGTGAGGAGCGAAAAGTTAGCTCTGTTCATTATGTTGCTTGCTTCTTGTCACATCATAGGAAAGAGGCAGTATTGCTGCACAACCTGTGAACATTTCGAACATTAAAAATATTTTGGTGATACACGGCTATGTCGCAGCTCAAGTTTCCAGCTCTAGAAGTGTGCTCCAGGGTCCTCATGTGGTTTCTGATATAAGTTTCCTTAATACCTGCACAATTTGATACCAAAGTTTCAAGCATCAAGCCCTAAGTAAGGCCTGAGACAGGATCAGGTCCTCGTTGTGCTGGGCCTTCTGTAACAGGTAGTTTGCTTGCTCTGCTATAGAATGCTCAGTCTTCATTAAACAACTGAAAATGTTAGATGGAGTTAAAGGATGCCTCTTCCTGGCATGTGGTAGATTCATCTGAAAATACTGATAACCTCAGTGATGGCTGGGCTTTGCTTTAATTTCATAGTTTTTAAAATATTCGTTTATTATATATGCAATTTTATCTGATAATTTCCACAAAAAATCTAAAGGTGTTCAGTGTTGATAAAGAATACTTTTTAATGTTGAGCCAATCAAGTCTGTAATATGGGGAGACAACTTGTATTATAAAGCAGCAGCATGTTTCATGCATTACAAAGAAGCAAGTGAACAGTGATTATACATTTATGATGAGCAGCTGAAAAGCTTCTTCGAACATTAGTGTTCTTTGATGCTTAAATGTATAAAAAGTCTGTTTTTTTTTTTAAAAGTTCTGTGAGAGGTTTAAAGAAAAGTCTGTAAAAGTTGTCTGTTACCAAGTAACCCATTTTTGTTTTGTAAGGTTTTTTTTAACACATTTTAAGAACTTAGCCTCCAGATAAAATATTACTTCTAGATACAGGAACAAGGAGTTTGCTAAGGAGTTACTCAGTAGACTGCACTAAGACATGAATGAAAAGGTTGTTTGCCTTTGCTATAGCTTTCGCTTAGACCCTGTATTTTCCAGAGTGAGTGAGATCTGTAGTCCTCTGACAGAGAGTGTTGAAACCAAACCTTCTTGAGCTTTGCTGTCAGCCAGTAAATTGTTGGGTTCTCTGTGTTCAAAGAAGCTTGGTCCATCAGCAGAGCTTGTTGGAGTCCGTTGCAGCTTTTTTGAAAAATCCCTCTTGAGGTACCAGGGACAAAATGTGGAAGACGAAGTGTCAGTGACTTAGAGTGAGAGAGGCACAGTATTAATGTGGAGAATGACACAAGAATTTTTTTCTTTGGAAATCTTTGGTTATTTTGGATATAAAGTTCTGTAAGGAGAAAAAAAAAAAAAAAAGAAACTTTGTTTCAGTGATTGTTGTCTATGAGGGTTTCATGGCACTTGAAAAGTCCCTACTTAGGAGCTGCATGAATAATAGGGTGAAAATCTGTTAAGGAGGGAAGGATTTTCTTTTAAAGCAAAACAAAATAAAATGCCAACCAAAAAAATCTGAAGGAACAGGAAGAAATTGGAAACAATTGCAGTATCTCCCTGTCTTTATTCACCAAAGTCAGGAACAGAAACAAATTGAGGTAAGAAACAAAGTCATATTGAAGGATTGAAGTCTGAGAAATTCTAAAAAACCAGTCAGGTATTTTGTTTACGTGTATTTAAGGTAATGGCAAAATGAATGGAAAGAAACTTGAGTCACTTCATAAGCATGGCGTGGTTACTGGCATTTGATACGTTTTTGTCAATTGTTAAATTTTATTTCTTACTCTTGTAAGATTTTAAAAAGAAAAATGTTCAGCTTCCATGTTTCACAGTGACTTCCATTGGAACTTGTGCTTTTTGTATTGACTTGGGGCCCAGCTGCATGCTTTTTTGCTACTTTATATTCAGATGTGATTGGAATCATCGTAATTGGGCTGTGAACTTGCATGTCAAGGATGAATATTTGAATACTCTTAAATAAAGAGCGCACATGTTATAAGAACATCACTGCGTTATTTGTATCATAAAAGGACATACTAGGTACACTATTTACTGTTTTATGGAAATACTTCAAGTGCTTAGTATGTTAGAGGCAAACTGTTAAGGTAGTGGATGACTTTTGGGTTGCACAAAACAAATACTGAATGAGAGAATGTTTTAAAGTTTCTCTCTTGTTCAGTGTTTCTCCAAAGAAGGCACAGAAGCTGAGGTGTTTCCCAGCTCACATAACGCTACTCAAAGTTGTCTTGTACCTGGCTTCTTAAGAGTCTTAATAGAGCAGTCAAGAAGAATGTTGTGTAGTGTGGAGGGGAAAAAATGCTGGATGAAAGGGAGGTCTGAAAGACTTCTGAAGAGAAGTTGTATGCTGTCTCCAGGTTTCATCTCCACTGATACGTGTTATTGCTTTGCTGATGAGAATACAGAAACCAGCTGGGAATCATAAATGTAAACTTTATTGTGTTTTGTTTAGGGCTTGTTGCTGTGGGAGAGAAGGCACAAAAGAGATCTGGACATTATGTTGTGATGAAGGATCTTTCAGGTGAGATTCTTACTTGTCTAAAAAACTCATTTAAAATGATTGCTTTGATAGCAGCATTGAAATTTCAAATGCATTTTATCTTTAAGGTAAACATCCAGTTTCTGCGTTGATGGAGATCTGTAACAAAAGAAGATGGTCACCACCTGAATTTGTGTTGGTGGATGATAGTGGGCCTGATCATCGCAAACACTTCATCTTTAAGGTGCGCTTGAGTTCCCTTGTTTGCTGTTCATTTCTCTATTAAAGGTGATGTAAATTCATGTTTATGTTTGTATATAAACATAATAAGCCACCTCAGGGGTGGCTGAGGACTGCTAAGCAGTGTCTCAATGCTAAAATTTCAAAGTCCTGTTTCTGTAAAGGCCAAATCAGATCTCTCAAGCACATTAATCTGTAAATCCATCAAGAAACACGCTATTCCACTTCTTACTAAAATTACTAACCTTTGTGGTATCGTATTCTTGCTGTTTACTTGCAGGTGTGGTGTTCAGTCTTAACTGTTGTAAAGGTAGTGAGCAAGATTTAGTTATTCTTGTCCTTCAGTTATCTTATGATGTGGGCTTTCTTTTTCACAAAATAATCTTGTGATAGCAGTTACTTTCTGGAAATGGTTGTGCTTACAGACCAGATGTGGATTTTGTCTACCGCTAAAGAGGAATGACATAGAGAATGTGCTTAAGGGATCTGTGTAGCGCTTCTGTTTAACAGAAGTGATGAGGCACTTTCTAACACTTCCTTTTTTCCTCCCCTTCTTTCTTGAACAGGTGAGAGTCAATGGAAATGAATACAGGCCTACTTTTGCCAGCCTTAATAAGAAGCATGCTAAAGCCACAGCAGCAACTGCGGCTCTCCAAGCGATGGGACTTGTACCAAAGGAAAGCATGGTTAATACCACCATGTTTAGGAGTGCCTCACACCGCTAGATATTGTTTTTTTATATTGACATTATTTCAGATAATTTTACTCTGCACAAAAATGGTATTTGCCCTTTCATGTTGTAAATACATTGGCAATTCCCACGTTGTAAAAACTGTACAGACACGTTCAGGTTTTTCTTTTGTACCATCAAAATGTATTTAAATCATACTTAGTTTTTGGTATGTTTATATTGTTTACATTAGTGATGTAATTATTTCTTAAATGACTAAATCAGACGACAGACTCTGGAGGCATCAGTAATCTAAACCCTTGTTTTAAAACTCATGCAATTTCTCTTCAATACGGAATGTTAACACTTTCATACTGTTTTGTACTATGCTGCAGTTTTCCCTGGTCTCAGTAAAGCTACTCGTGCACTTTTGCCGACAGCTGGTAAAAGGTCATGCGGCTTACCTTAGTCTAGTTGAGGCTGGCGTGTACTGCTGGACAGATACTGGGCCAGTACTGTGACCCCTGTGAGAAAGCGTGCGGTGGTAGCCCTGTTGTACAGTGTTAGCGCTGCGGCTTCTCTTCAAATTTTGTTTGGGGTTTAACTCGGTGGTGCACTGCGACTGGCCATACAGCCCATAATACTCTAGGACATACGTGATTAGGCAAAAGACTTGGCTTTCAAAGGGATGGCAGAAAGTCCAGCAATGGAACCGATGAGACTTGCAATGTAAAGGTGACTCTCCCTGCATGTTCTAAGAAGGGAGATGATGGAGTTGTCTATTCCAAACAAATTAACACACTGCCTGATGTTGATTGTATGAATTTGTGGTTAATGTGAATTTTAAACTCTAACAAATCTACAACTGGATTCGGGGGGGGGGGGGGGGATAGAATGATGCTTAAATTGTTGTACCCAACTTGGTCAATAAAGCAGCACAAGTTCATAATCTTAATCACTGGTCAGTAAACAGTAATTAAAATGTATGCCAAAACAACTTTTTGAAGAAACGCACAGTATAGAAGTATGCTTTATGAAGATTATCAACAGCTGTTAGGGTTGCAGAATCAGTTCTAGTCATTTTTGGTTGCTTTGGACTATTACCAAATTAACTCCTTGGGCTTAAATTTTCCATAATGGTACTCTGCCCTCAAGGAGACAGCCTGATCCAGAGTTTTGGCAGTTTGACAATGGAGAGGATGTAGAAAAGCTTTTCCTTCTTCTTTTTCTTTCTTTCTTTTTTTTTTTTTTTTTAATTTAAGAAGTATTAGTATTTTAGCTATGCGCACTTTGAATTGGAAAGGGCATTGTATACCTCTTGCCAGATTTATCTTGAGTTACAAGCAGATTGCCAGGATTTACAGAATCTAGTAGTTCAGGTGTTTATTTCAGAAAAGTCTTCCTGAGGTCTCTTTGTGTTACATCTACTGACCACAGCTTCATCTGGGACAGGAATAAAATACAGTTTGTACGCAGTAAGGCTGTGCGCTTGCCTAAAGTGAGTGACCTTTGCAATGGTAGTAGGAACGTGGAGGTGAAGAATTACTAGTACCTCTTCTTCCACAAAATAAGGTGACTTGTGTGTATTCTGTCAGCTGTTACGGAGCGAGGTGTCTGTCTTTGCCCTAAAGGGACAAGGATCAATGTCTCATGTTGTGTACAGCAGAGAAATGGTATTTGGTTCTCCACCACATACTTCAGAGAAATAAAGCCCCTTATTAGTCTGTCAAAGCGCTCTAGAAATGCCTAAGTTAATCTTAATTTTCATGGACGTAGTTGTCTTTAATTAAACTTTTTTTCCCTTTGGCTTCTCGCCTTCAGTCTTTGACTAAATATTTGAAGATCTCCTTGCCTCATTTGCTGAACTAGTTGGAAGGTGTGTATAAAAGGCCAAAAGTAAACATGATGGTACAGCAATGGAAAGATCTACTGTGGGAGAACTGGGTATTGTATCTGTCTTAGCTAAAGTCTGGCTTTTTGATGTATGACTTAAAGTAATTAACTCGGGATGTAGGAGCAGCTCCTAATCAGACTTGTATTTAAATGTCTGGTTTGATAGAGGTGTAACATCAGAGATGTTGATCGTTCTGTTTAGTCTTTGGTGTCCATGTCAGCACTGGTTTCACAGCTGTACAGTATCAAATCTGGGAACATACAATCTCTTGTACTTGTCATTTTGTTCTTTTTTTGGTCTATATTCCCCATGTATAATGTAAAGATACATGTTGTCTTGCAGCAGCAAGGAGCAGATGAATTCAGTCCCATTGAAGACTCCATTTACAAAATAACTATTTAGGCAAGTTCTGGATTTCATGCCTCAAAGATGTGGTACTGTATGTGGATTTAACCTTTGGTCTTAAGGAAGACTTAAAAAAATTAAGGTCTGTCATGCCCTAATTATGACACTTCTTGATTTTGAGGTTTCTCTTTTAGTTTCATTCCTTGTTGTTTAGAATGATACATGAATCTAAAGCTAGTGCAGCGATGTGCTTATGTTAAATTTGTAAATTTGAATTGGTTTGAGTGTCCTTTGCATGCAGGAATAGATTAAGTAGTGATACATTAAAAAGAACAACTAGGAAACACTCTCTTGGAACCTGGTTATTTATGCAGCACTTCAGCTGTCTTAAAGGTGAATAGTCTGTGACTCCTTCTGATGGAAGGCGTGATCTCTTTGGCTGTTGGATTTCCTTTTGCTGCAGAATTATTTTCCTAGAAGTAATCTCGCTGAAAGTGCTTCTGACTTCCCTGTGGCGAGGATGATTTTGAAACAGGTGCCCAAAAACTTGTAGCCAGCTTCCACCGGAACGATTTCTTGGCAGTCTTCCCATTAGTAGTTTTTAAACAGTTAGGGCTGGAGGAGCAGGAAGGTGAACTTCCTATGCCTGGGAAAATTTGAAATTGCCTCTTAAAGTGCAAAAACTATATGAAGTCTTAATGCTACAGTCTCTCTAGCTCTTCCAAACAAATCACAGTTGTGATGAAAAGTCACCCATTTGGACAGGTTAAATAAATAAATCTTCGTGCTCTACAAGCATCTGGAATGATGGTAGTATTTGCTGAAAATACCTTTAGGTGGGAAGAGCAGCAGACTGGGGAGCATAATGCTGTAACTTTTGTAGGGAAAGTTCGCTGGAGCCAAGTATGCTTCAAGAACAGCACTGAATCCCAGAGCTGTAAGCAACTGGAATATGATTCTGAAATTACAGGCGAAGCTATGACTTAAAAACCAACAGGCAGTTTACCGTACGAGGAGCTACAGCTCCAGTGATGGTGCAAAGCACGTGACAAAGAATTTGGTGGTGAATTTCTGAAACTGCACCACTCTAGATAATTTTTTTTTAATTACTGCAAGCTATTAATTGGCATTAGTGTCTCTTCGTAACTCTCACATGCTAGCTGTGAAAATACAAACTGGAGCTGAAATTAATAGTAATTATTGTATTTCTTAGAAACAGATAGGCTTAAGTCCATTCTGCTATGTGGTTATTGGCTTGATTAAAAGTGCTTACCCATAGAGGCAGCTACAGAATTGCTTTTCCTATTGCTTTCAGTAACCTGTTGCATGTGCTAACATGCTCTGCAAGGAGGCCAGTTCCTCAAGCACACGCTCTGGAGATGCTGCCTGTTTCAGAGCTGGTGGGCTCTGAGCTCATGAGCAGCTTTCAGAAGGGCTTGCCTGCGTGACAGCAGGGGAAGCGTCACTCTCTGCAGTGCACCTGAATGTGGCGGCTGTGAGAACTGCTCTTGCTGACCTGTAGCGCTGGGCTAAAGGTCAGTTGACAGCAGACTGCAAAGCCCAGTAGTGGAGGCTATGACGATGGAGGCAGCCAAGCCAGATAAAAAAGGCACCGAGTTAACTCTTAAGATGTTACTGGAAACAAAAGTGTAGCTAACACACCAGCTGCTCTAGAAACCCAGTCTTCTGGTGTTCCCCACAATGACATTAGCACTGGCTTTTCACTCTTGCTGTCTGATGCTAATCAAAGGGGAAAAGTTCTGTAACCTGCTTCTAGATTAGTTAGGGAGAAGCATAGAGATTAATTAAAGTCGGATTGTACTACCCTGAACTCCACCAGAAACGGAGTATTTGACATTATCAAAAGTATTTAATTCCTAAGGTGCCTTCTTCCATCATAAGAGAGGGACTTTCCCTTGATCTAGGTTTTCTAGATGTTGTCTTGTTCAGTGTACAGCTGACCTAGTGTCATGGTAGTTACTTGTAAAGTAACAAATGTAAACATGAAGTATTCCAGTGTAAGTGTATACGTGCTGTATTCTTGGGATAGGATACTTCTGGTGGCGTCGCTATGAAGTAACTGAAAGGCAACGGAAGCTTTCATCATGCCTCCATCTGCGGTAACTTTAGGTGCCCACATTTTTAAGTTTACAGGCTGTTTCCTCAAGTAAGACCTGGCTACAGTCTAAGGTTACTGTTTCAGAATTGCACATTCTGAGGTGGGGAGCAGAGTGGCACTGTAGTAAGGATGGAGGGTAGTGGACCACAGGGCGTGACCACTGCTTTATTTTCTGTGCAAAATACCAGTTGAATTAGAAATCTTGCTGGAGTGCACAAGCATGACGGTATTCTACATCTTGTTATTCATATTTAGTAGTGTCTGCTGCAGTAACCTGATCACCTAATAGCTGTGTAAAAAGTGACATACATGCCTCCAAACTAACAGCTTTGACTACCCGAAGTGAGACAGACTGCATGAAACCTGCTAATAGCTTCTGCTATTGCTGTGCACAGCCAGAGTCTGGTCAGCAGCCCTCTGCTGCCTCTCATTTTCTCTATCTTTGATCAGGTGCCACAACTGTTTTATTGCTCCAACTTGTTCTGATTCAGCAGGTTATTGTTTGTACAAATTGCTTCTTAAAAGTCTAGCTCATTTTACCATAAGTGGGAATAGGAATTCTAGCAGCTATGCCAAGCAGTTCTAAGGAGTCAACCTTTTAATCTAATGTGGCTGCAGGCAGAACTCCATGCTTGTGTCCATCTGACTTTCATCTATCTTTGTGGAGTTCAGAGCTGACTCTAAACTAAGCGGTGCAACATAGCAACAAGAAGCTATCAAGCTTCTGGCAAGGTGCTGTAAGCAGTCTTGGAAGGGGTTTCGCCAAGAACTGCACCCATCCAAAATGGTTACAGGTTACCTCACAGAGCAGCAGCAGAAATTCTGTACTTCAGAATAGAATTTGCATGTGCATGAAGAATACAGACCTTCCGGACGCAAGTCAGACCAATAAACCAGATAATGGTGTTTTGTCAAGTTTTATTTAAAAAAGGCTTCCTAAAATACAAAAGGAGATGTCCAAGGCCACCTCCTTCATTTCCTTTAAAAGTCCTTTGAAGTGTTTTATGATGGGTGATGTGCAATAGTTGTAGTCTGTGATGTGCAACTAGATTGTATCCCTCCTGGTACTGCATAGGTGCTACTGCATAGAACCCAAATGAAGTACAGCAGCTGCACACTAGAGACCATTCTCTTCCATTAAATGGAGCTAGCATACCTAGGACTTCCAGGTATAAGCATAATCCTTCATTTCCAGAAATCGGATGGAAGATTTTCCCAGTGTTGGACACTGACTCAGTTGATCCAAAGTCTTAGGATGCAGTCCACATGTAGGAAGATCATTGCGTATGGTTTCCTGTGGAAATTCACATGAGGAAGAGAGACATGGAATAGGTATTTGTTTGAAATACCTGTAGTTTTTAATGTTCATTTGTGTACCTCTGGGGAACTCCTGAAAAGCTAGTTTTCCGATTATTCCATTTCTGAGGCAATGACAAGCCACAGGGACTGCCAGGTGGCGATCACAAGTAATCGGGTGTAAACCCACATATTAAGGGAAGGTTTTGCGTCACTCAGCGTCCTATGGTTTGTAATAAAGATACTATTCCTAACAGGAAAGATTGTCTCTGCTAGTTTCCTTACCTTATTTAAGGCAGGGCTTGTGTTGTCAAGACCAGTGTTAAACACAGCGGTTGGCTCATGTGTATACAATACAGCAGAGAATGCTCCCCTCTGTGCGGACTTGAGCAACATGGTCAATGAATGGAGGGAGTGAGGCATGACGGGGCCTATGATCTCCAGACTGAATATATCCTCATACGCCAAGTGAACCCTGGCTTTGGCATTTATACTTCGAGCCTGAAGACAAGACCACGTAGGATTAGTTTTTGACACACCAAATCAAGTCCTAATTTTAATTTACTTTAATACTGCAGTGGCACAGTCCCATTACTTTTCAGTATTGTTAACTTACTGTTCAATACATGAGTATTATGATGGTTTTACCGTCTTTGTAACAACTCCTAAAATGTACCCACTGTGATATGCAGGAATGCTATGCAGTATGAAGAAAGTTAACTGCAGAAGAACAGTATGAACTACTCTGGTGGAAGAAAACTGCACTACCTGTATTAACAGCATATCCTTTAGTACCCATCATCCCCTTAAATTAACAGGTGGTGAGCCAAGGTTCAGAGGCTCCCTTGGTCCAAGCAGCTGTGATAGTTTGAGACCCAATAAGATCTCAGGAGAATCTTTTAGTATCTGGGAAGTCTGCTTAACCTTCTTTATCAGGGTGTCAAGAATGGAAATACTGGGATTTCAGTTTAGCAGCATAGATCCATGTGGGTAGAGATGATTTAGGAGGCACTCTGTATTGCGGTCAAAATGCTCACTCAGGCTATAGCAACAAAAATTACTCTGCGGTACCTGAGGGAAACTATACAAAGTCAGTATCTAATCTGCTGAGTGAAGAAACAACTCTCTTTATTAAAAAAATAGAGACGGTTGTGTTACTTACTTTGAGTGTTTGCATTGTTCCACCTCGGAAAGCAACAGGGGACAACAAAGTTGGTGGAAGCCCTGTTTGTGGACCTGCAGCAGCCACTAGGCTCTTACAGTTTATCAAGAAGTTCAGCAAGGTGAATGTGTTTGTTCCTTTCACTAATGCAAGGGATTCAGGTTTGTGATCCATCTGCACCTCATGCTTCTCCTTACGACTATATTGACTGGAGTCAAAGAAAAACCACAAGGATATGAAAAGCATCAATGCACCACAGGAAGAACTGGAGCAATGCAACTCCAGGAGAAACCCCCCTAGCCCCCTCTGACCAATCACGTCGTTTAAACAAACAAAACCAAAAAAACCACCAAGCTTTACATTAATCCAGATTTGTTCTTCCAATATTAAGCAGCATCTTTTGGTTCCTCTGAAACACGTACAGGATCTCAGCAACAGCTGGTCTACAGCTGTGTCCTTACTACACCACACTACTTCCAAGTGTAAACCTAGCCTACGTGAACATACACCCTGTTCTTTAAAAAAAGAGAAACAATCTAATGAGTCTTTCCAGTGAACCTAGATGTGAGGTGACACAATCAGTTTGTGACCTAATGGATCTTACAAAGTTACATTAACAATTCACAATGGATTTTCCTTTCAAGAAGAAAAGCATCTAGAAATACTTGTCATAAAGAAACTCAGAAAGACACGCAGAGTCTCTTAATGTGCAGTAATGCGAGAATTAATGTTTGGAAATAAGTTCTCAAAAGCTTTTACAAAACTTAAACTTAAACCACAAAAAGATAACATCTGCACAATTTTCCAGTGTCATACATCTTGACGTGCAAAAAAAAAGGATACAGTTTAATAGAAATAGCATCTGGTTTCTTAACCTTGTCTTGGACTCCCATCTCCTCAAGCCAAGAGAAACTTTCATCATCGTCATCGCTTAGCGCTGGTTCCCTGGGAAACACAGAATCAGTGTTAGGAGGGCAATACTTCCTACGAAGGTTTTCCAAATAGAATCTGCAGGAGTCTGTAGATGCCCTGGAATTCTAGCATTGTAGAAGACTTATTACATACTCTCCGTCTTCCATGCTGTCGCCCACTTCGAGGCTGTTAGCAACTTCTGTTTCCAAATTCACTTCAGAGTTTTTCTGTTTCCTGGTTCTACATTCTTCTACCAAAGGTAAAGAAAACTCTATGCCTTGAACAGAGGAGGAAAGAAAGCAATGACTGGTTTTGTAACACAGCTAATGCACTTTATCAGTTATTCAAATCCTAGTTGGACTGGTTTCACCTTACCTTCATTTCTCATGGCTTCCCTTAAACCTCTAGTTGTGGGAGAAATTACAGCTGTGATAACGTCACTTCCCACAAGACCAGCTGCACGGAACAGGACAGTAAACTGGTAGGTACATACATAGAAGTAGGGACACAGCTTGGCTTTGAGCAGATTGTACAGGGAAGTAAAGCTGACAGACCTGCAAATTAGAATAAAACGATTCTGTAACTGAAGTTAATTCTTTGCCATTGACACATCAAACTGGATTTGGCTGGGTGGTACTGATATGTACTCTGCACAGGTTTGAGAGCATACTGAATGATTAGCCAGATTTTCAGACGTGCTCAATGTCTAGGAAGCTGCGCTCCTCTGAAATGCAGCCTGTTTGTGAGTATGATGCTCTTCCAGCATACTTGCTTTCTAGCACATAGGTTTACATGAAGCATCAAAGGCAACCTGCTAACAGGATTTATGGAAATCTATGCAAACTGACAACTAGGATTGGAGAAGGGCATTTAACACAAGAAGGTAGCTTTAGTCTTATATTTCCTTAACCTGGTCCTCAAAACAATGAGCATTCTAGCTGGGGAAAAAAAAAACCCAGAAAAAGCTTCCTCATAAAAATGGAAAGAACTTGTGCATTAATTAAAATCCCATTGTCTTAATCTTACTAAAAACATCAGTTGTTTGGTTTCACTTACCAGTCACTCATTAGCACTTGTTGCAAGGCTTCATCCTGTGACCAAGGACTAGCCTTTCCAGCTATTTTTCTGTCTGCTCCAATCCGAGGGAATAGCTGCAGCCATGGCAGTGAAGGGTGAAGCCAGTAAACAAGGCTTTGCTGAAAGGCACAACGCAGTTCTGTCGACAGTTTTGGTTCCTAGATGTCAAAAAAGCATTTTACGAGGACAGTAATGCTTTACTTCAGGCTGCATTACAAGTGATGGATTAAAAAAATATTACATTAGATACTGAAAAAAAAATCCTGGGCTTGTGAATAAGCCAGACTGAAGAAAAATGGACAGCAACCAGCAACTGCTCCACAGTTAAATGACCACTCGCTTAACACTGTTTGCCACTATAGGTACAAACCATGGATGGAATTAGATTAGTAGTCTAAATGAGCCTTATTCTTAATGCAAGACCAAAACAGAATCAAGCCTTCACTGCCAGCACATTTAAGGAAAGGTGCAAAGGTACATTCTGCTTTCTAAAGCTGGAGCTTTGAGCTACCCTCCGAAGTATTACCTGTACGCTCTGTGGCAAGTTTGTTTCTGTAGCTCTACAATGCTGAGCAAATCCTTGAGCTTCCTCTTGTGCTCTTAAATGTTCTGCCCAGGTAAAAGGTTGGGAAGAAGTAAATAGAAGTCGTGTTTTAATACTCCAGTCTGCAGGAAACTCATGTCTTGGTGAGGGGGGAACTTCAGGTACAGCAACTGGTAAATGAAGGTCCTTACAAAACAGAAATAGCATCACTTAGTTAACCACCAGAAAATTACCCCCCCACACACACATAGCTACCTATTTATATTTTAGCATGGTTAGGTCTCCTCCCATGTTGATTTAATATACCTTTCCTGGCAGGCAGACTGGATACTGGACTATGGCTATTACATGTAATGTCTTGAGTTTAGTAGCCTATAAAAAGACAAGTTAAACCTGTCATCTCCTGCATGTTTTTCTCCAGTTCACTGCAACAGCAAAAATGCCTAGCTCATTTTGATCCTAAGGAAGTACTCACATTAAGTTAAGAAACATACTTAAAAAAAAAGCTTTTGCAGGCAGATTTCCTGGATTCCAGGTTACACGGAGTTTGACTGTTCAAAGGCACAGTTTATACTGAACTGATTATTTTAGTCAGTAACAGATTCTAATAGAAATACAGCATTATATTGCTTATAAAAATGCAAAGGGTGTTTTCATTCACAGAAGTCTTTCTAAAAGTCATAAACTAGGAACACGTAAAAGGATGAATGACTCAACAAAAGAAAACTTAGCCTGAACTTTATGAAGACAAGAATTTACATGCCAAAACAGTTATTTCATTTTGCCCTCTCTTGGTGATTGAAATGTCAGGTGCTTCCTAGAGGATGCAAAAAAAAACCCCACTGGGAAGCTCTAGGACAGTTTTTTCTCTTTGAGAGGTCATTTTCCTATTCTGCTAACTTAGTCTGAACTTAAGTTTCCGAACCCATAACAACGTTAGACGTTGTCTGCTTGAAACTCTCTTTCAAGGACTAGTTTTCAGGTGTTGTCTCTTTCCTATGTGCCTGGTCAGGTTGTTTGTTCCCTTTCTGTAGCTGTATAAACGACTGCAGGAGATGTATCACTTTGAAGAACATCCTTATCTCAGCAAAATATAAAACTAAGAAACAGAAGAATTATAGTAAACGTGGTAATAAAACTGGAAGAAGACAACAACCTCTGTCAACTAGAACTCCAACAGTAGCAATGTCAGGCAGAAGGCTGACTTTTAAAAGACCGGCACCGTTAACAGCGAACGTCAAGGCAATTCAAGAAATTTCCTTGAACGCTGACGTCTTAGTGCATCACTTTATGCAGAGACGGACCACCAAACACCGAGCTAAACACTTTCAGCTTTTTCTGTGAACTGAGAACAGCCAAAGACGTTTTTTACGCCGTTTCGTACATCGGCCGGGGTGAGGATGTTGCTTCTCTCAGAGGGCTCTGCTCTCCTGGCGGGCTTGTCTTCACCAACAGCCTCCAAAAGCTGAACGAAAGAGGAGCGTAAGATGCAGCACAGAACAAGAGCCAGGTCGATAACTTAAGAAGAGACGCCCGCTGCAGTGAAATTTCCGCAGCGGGATGAAGCCCCCCCCGTGCTGCCCCCCCCCCCCCGGGGCGATCGGACGGCGCCTGCGCGGCCAAGCGCCGCGGCCGGGTCCGATCTGCGCGCAGAGCTGGGCCGGGACCCGGCTCTGTCGGCGGCAGCGGGCTCCGGGCCGCCTCAGGGCGATGGCTG